GTTTTTTAAATAAAAATTTTTTTTAAAAAAATTTAAATTTATAAAATATAAATAATGTAAAAAAATGAAGTTACTGGAAGCACTACCAAGCCTAAATTTTATCGACTTGTAATCATCACAAGGAAGTCCGCATTTGGTATCTTCTTTCTTTTTCAAAAGCTCCTCGTGTTCTTCCTGATAAAGTTTACACAGAAGACAAAAAATTCATATATAAATACATTTAATTATATATAAACTATTAAAAAAATTTAATTAATTAGTACCTGTAACTCTTGCAGCACCAGAGGATGTTCCTTCAGAAGCTTGATCGTCAGGGTTAACGTCACCGGAATCGTCTCGATGGTAGTGAACGTAAGAGCAAAGATGGCATAAGCAATGAAACCTTCGTTTAAGAAGCTCTGGTTTTTCATTTCATCCATGAGTTGATCGAGGAAGTCGTATCGCTGTTGGCTTGCGCCTGATGCATCATGCTTTCTTTCCTCTATGATGTCCTTCATCATCTTCATAAACTTATTCTGCTTCTGAAAAAATTAATGGAAAAACCAAATTGTTTAACAATACTGCCAAGATTAATAGTTTTCACTATTTCAAACTATAAAACACAGATCATCAACCCTTGCATTCAAACTTCAGAGGCTTTATATAATTTTTTTTTTTATCAGCAAAGATAAATTTATTTAATGGAGCACAAGGGGCATTAGCTATTTCTTTACTTCAATTCGCAGATGACACAATCATTATGGGAAAGGCTGACACAGAGAATATTTTTATGGTTAAAACAATTCTGCGATGGTTCCAACTGATGTCTGGTCTGCAAATTAATTTTAGCAAGAGTAACATTTATGGGTATAATGTGCCAGTGAGATGGGTAGAAGGATCAGCTAGCATGTTGCGTTGTGGTGTTGGGAAATCTCATTTTAGTTATTTGGGAATGCCTGTTGATGGAAATCCTGGGAATAAGAAGTTATGAGAGCCGCTAGTAAATAAATTTCGAGCTAAACTTGCTGTCTGGAAGGTTGCTTCGCTATCCTTTGGTGGCCACCTCACTCTGCTCAACTCGGTACTTTCTGCTTTACCTATTTTTTATATGTCATTGTTCTTAATTCCAAATTCTGTGATGACTGAATTGATTAGTATACAGAGAACTTTTTTATGGGGAGGGGTAGAGGGACAGAGGAAGATCTCGTGGGTGAAATGGGATAATGTGTGGCAATAAGGTAAAAGGGGGATTAGGGGTATCGAACTTGCGTAGGAAGAATTGGGCTTTACTAGGGAAGTGGTGGTATAGGTTTGGAGATGATGTAGAGAGCTTATGGAAACGGATAGTAACGGAGAAATATTATGGGGGCAAGAGGGAGGAGGTGGACATTACAACAGTTGGGAATTGGAGGACGTCTAGGATTTGGAGAGATATTATTAGTGTAGGGGGTCGTTCTATGAGGCTTAGAAATATGTTGGTGGAGGGGTTTAGGTGGGAAGTGGGGGAAGGGAATTGGGCGGGCTTTTGGAGAGATTTGTGGGTTGGGAATAAAAATTTAAGGGATTTATGCCCAAGGTTGTATGAGTTGTCTTTTTTTCTTTTTCTTTTTTTTTTGAAAAGCAAAGAAATTATATTATGTGAGTACAAGGGGTACTCAAACCCTTTAACATCAGTGTGTAAAGCTATTGGTAGAATTGTAGACTAAATACAAAAAGCCAAGAATACTCCATAATAAGACACTTGGTCTCCAATTCCCTTTGTAGCTTCTATTTCCTATTAGTCAGACATCTCACTGGATTAGAAATCCATTCCAAGAAAGAAAAGTCTAGGTTTAACAGAGTTCTAACCCAGTGAAATGAACGGCTTTGTACAAGTTTAAATAGCTTGTCCTCATTAATCGTCTTGTGCTGAAAAGTAGTTTCATTTCTGTTCAACCACAATGACCACACTATGGTAAACCATAACATGTTCCAACCCTTTTTTAGAGTCCTTGAACCCTTGTGCCATTTGTGCTAGTTGAAACAATGTTTTTGTACCCGACCCGGTGGCTGACCCGTTTTGGCCACCGGGTCTGGTTCAACCGGTTGAACCGGTTCACCGACCGGTCCAACCGGTCAACCTAAAATCACACTTTTTTCAGTTTTTGACGATATGTTCGATGAGCTGTTGCAGATTCTGATTTCTGCTGCTGCTTCTGCTCAGTGGAGGCAGGAAAAGAAGAGGAGCGGTGGAGGAGATGAGGCAGATGAGAACGCCATGATCGACGGAGGAGATGAGGAAGAGGTGCTCGGCGGAGGAGATGAAGCAAATGAAGATGCCGTGATTGACGGAGGAGATGAAGCAGATGAGGATGATCTGTTGATTTTGTTCTGTTTTACTGTGTTGCTCGGTAGAGGAGATGAGTGACGAGGACGATCGGCTGGACGCTGAGTTGTGTTGCCGCCGACGGAGGTGGCTGAGATCTGGAGCTCATCGATGGTTCCTTCTGTTTCTCGCTGCTTTCTTCTGTTCTGGGTTTTACAATTTGCAGAGAGTTTTCTTTGTTTCTCCATAATTTCTTATGGTTTTTTCATCAAATTTATTATGGTTTTTTCATCAGATCTTTTAATTTTTTTTTTTTTTGAAACCATCACCTTTTTCGCCTTATCTTCTTTCTTTTTCTACCATTTTTCTCCATTCAAGCTCGCTTCCTGATCCTTATCTACTCCAATCGATTGCATGGAAGAATCCCATGCAATTGTCGTAGGCTGGTCGGAGGCCCCAACGGAGCTCCAAAGAGAGCTTCTGAACGAGATCCGCCATTTGATTCATGTGGTCGTCAAGAGTCGGTTGGGCAGCTTTGTTGCTTCTGTTCAGCAGAGGAGATGACTAGATGAGGCTGTGACTGGTGGTGAGATCTTGACGCAAGTGGAGCATGGAGATCAGGCCGCTTTGCTAGAGGTGATGAGGTGGTGACTGCTGTGGTGAGATGCCGATTAACTCACGGAGATGGAGCAGGGATGAGGCAGAGGGATGGCCCGGCAAGTGGGACGGGCTAGGAGTTTGGAGCGGTTCTGGCAGGCTAACGCAGGCCAACGCGGGCCAACGCGGGCCAACTTGCAAAACGGGCCAATGCATGAAACCGGCCCGTTTTTAAGCCCGGGTCCGGTTCAACTGGTTCAACCGATCGGGCTGGGCCGGGTTTTAAAACCATGGGTTGAAAACATCAAGACAAGTATTCCCAAGTACGTAATGTAATCCTCACCAGTTGAGACATATTGTCCATAATTTGAAAGAGATGTTGCAAGACACAAAAAGGTGATCTATATGTTCAGGGGATTGATCACACCAAAGACACTTTATATTTTCGTTTCCATCTAAAATCCCACGCATTGCCAAGTTAACCTTTGTAGGGATTCTATCTAATAGCAATTGCCATGAAAAAGCACTTACTTTTGATGGAACTTGTGCACTCCACAGTTTTCTGTAATCCATTAGCCTGTTATCCTCTTTCTTTACAAGTTGCTCATAGGCAGATGTTGTGGTATATTTTCCCTCACCATGTAGCCTCCAACTCCAATTGTCCTTCTTGTCCTGCGTTGGCTTTATGTGTTGTATAGCCTTGATTAGTTGTTTCAATTTGTCCTCTTCCCAGGCTCGAAGTCTTCTTCTCCATTGAAACCTCCAAACCCAGCACCCATCTACCCAATGTCCCATATCGTAGATGCTGCAATTTTTTCTGTAGCCAACAAGAAAAGTCTGGGGAAAATATTAGCTAATGTGTCCCCCTCTGCCCTTGCATCATTCCAAAACCTAACACTTTTCCCATCACCCAAATTCAACTTAAAATTTGAAAACAGCCACTCGTCCTTACCATCTAATCCTCTATTCAATTTACAAACATCATTCCACCAAGATGATCCTAAGCCCCGACTCTCTCTCAACCATGACAACCAATTTCCTTCCTTGCCACCATACTTTTCTAGAAGTACCCTAGACCATAAACCCTTCTCTCCCTCTACTACTAGTCTCGCCCACCATTTGCCAAGCAATGCCATATTAAACCATCTCAAATTTTTGACCCCCAAGCCTCCCTCTTTTTTACTACAGCATACCCTATCCCAAGACACCCATGCAATCTTTCTACCTTCCTCAACCCCTCCCCACAAGAAATTCCTTCTAATTTTATCAAGTTCATAGATTACGTGTTTAGGGGGAAGATAGAATGACATCAGGAACACTGGTAGACTGGATAGCACAGAGTTTATGAGAGTGATTCTTCCACCAAGAGACAAGAATCTTCCTTTCCAAGCTGAGAGTTTTCTTCTAAACGTCTCAATTAAAGGTTTCCATGTGACTAGTCTCCTTGGGTTTGCACCCAATGGCACCCCCAAGTATTTGCAGGGGAGAACATCAGTTTTACAGTTTAGCAACCATGCCATTTTTTCAATCCATTCATCATCAGTGTTGATTCCAATTAAAGAGCTCTTTCTATAATTTACCTTCAGGCCTGACACCAATTCAAAAGCTCTCATAATACATTTGACTGTCCAGATGTTGTTTTTAGTTGCCTCACCCATAAATAGTGTATTGTCTGCAAACTGTAAATGGCTAATTTCAAGCTCCCCATCTCCTATTTTTGCTCCACGAAAAAAGCCCTTTGAGACTGCTACTGAAGTTAGTCCATTAAGAGCCTCTGCCACCATTAGGAATAAAAATGGAGATAATGGATCACCTTGTCGGAGCCCTCTTGACATCGCGAACTCTTTTGTGGTACTTCCGTTAACTAAAATAGACACCGTCTTAGACTTTAAGCATTCAGAAATCCACCCCCTCCATACTGTATCGAAGCCCATTCTTTCCATCATATAATCAAGAAAAGGCCAGCTCACATTATCATATGCCTTTTCGAAATCAATTTTGAAAATAAAGCACCGGGATTTTCTTTTCCTCACCCCATCAACGGCCTCATTTGCAACAAGCACTCCATCTACCAATTGTCTCCCCTCGATAAATGCAGATTGATCTTCCCCTATAATCCCATTTAGTACTCTGCTGAGTCTATTTGCTAGCAATTTAGCAAGAATTTTATAAGTGCAACCAATTAATGAGATGGGTCTATACTCCTCGATACCTCGAGGGTTTTCTCTCTTTGGTATTAAAACAAGAAAGGAGGCATTAGAATCCCTTACCAATTTTCCATTTCTGTGGAAATTCGTGAGAAACTCCATGATGTCAGTTTTAATCACCTCCCATTCTTTCTTTAAGAAGCCGAAAGTAAACCCATCCGGTCCTGGTGCTTTGGTGCTATCACAATTCCATACCGTTGCTCTAACTTCTTCTTCTGTAAAAGGATCAGTAAGCATGCCTCTGTCTGCCTCTGAGATGGTCTTGAAATTTAGGCCCTCTAAAGTCGGTCTCGACCATCCCTCATCTGTGAATAAATTGGCAAAATACTGCTTTACTCCTTGTTTTATGTCTTCCATGTTCTTAAGCTCCTTGCCTTCTATGGAAACCACATTTATTTCATTCCTACGCCATCTCCCCTTGATGCACTTGTGGAAATAACTGGTATTAGCATCTCCTGTTTTTAGCCAAGTTTTCCGTGCTTTCTGTTGGGCCATCTCTTCTTTCAACTGCATATTCTTGAGTAGCTCAGTATAGTGAGTACTCCTGATTATGAGGTCTTCATTGGTTAGACTACTCATTTCCCCTTTACCATCAATTCTGTTAATCTACTCCCTAGCCTCCTCAATTTTCCTATCCACTTCTTGTAAAGAGGATTTTGACCACTCCCGAAGAAAATCCTTGAGCTTCTTCAATTTCTCCTTTAAGATGAAACCACCCCATCCTTGGATTTTGATCTCCTTCCATTTTGCTGCAACCATATCACTGAAACCAGGGGTATGTAACCAAGCATTGAAGAACTTGAAAGGTTTTGGGCCCCAATTCAGTGTCTCGCTTCTTACCAGTATGGGACAATGGTCTGACAGAGATCTATGGAGTCCCCATTGTTTGAGATCAAGCCATTTCATCATCCAGTCATCATTGAACAAAAACCTGTCCAAACGACTCATCCTGTGACCATTTGGTTGGCACCATGTATACTTTCTTCCCAGCAGTGGTAGATCCGTCAAGCCATTATTCACTATGAATTCTTCAAATCCCTTTACTTCTCTTCTCACACTCTTGCCCCCCTTCATTTCCTACAAGCTTCTGATAGCATTAAAGTCACCTCCTAGACACCAGCACCCTCTATTATTCCTTATTAGTTGCTCGAGATCCCTCCACAAAATCCTTTTCTCCATGAAGTCACATGAGGAATATACATTACACAAAAAACATGGGTAAGCATCAGGTCCCCATAGCCCATGAATCCCAAGGAAGCCATCACCTTCGAAAACATTTAATTTCTTAAACACATCATTGTTCCAAATAGTAATTAGTCCTCTGGAAGCTCCCGAAGCTAGTTTTGTCGCCTATTCCATGTTGTCTGAGTCCCATAGCCTTCTACATAATTTCTTGTCAACAATATCCATTTTTGTTTCTTGCAAAAATAAAACCTCTACTCTATGTTTCACCACCAACTCCCTAATCACTCTCTTTTTCTCGCAACCTCGCAACCCCCTAATATTCAATGATAGCAAAATCATGGGGAATTATCAATCACCTGGTTTCTGGTAAGAGTACATACCTTGTCTTTCTTTCTTTTTTCTCTATCCCGCTGCTCCATCTCTTCTAGTTTTCGTAGCACCGGTATCTCATCCCCTTCAATCGAGACACCCAATTCTTTAATTCGGCTCAAAACAGCTTCTGGGCCTCTGACTTTATCCTTCATTTCAATACCCTTGTTGCAATTTTGAATGTTGCTATCATTAATAGAATCATCTGCCACCGATTCTGTTGTATTTGCCTCAAAACCCACTTGCAGCAACAGTTTTTCCGTCACCAACCGGTTTCCCTTCTTCTTCTTCTGCAGCCGAAAGCCTTCCAGCCCGCCTGATCGTATGTAAACTGATCTGCATGTCTTCACCCTCCGTTTCTGCATTTTTTTCTTCTTACCCCCTCTTCTTCTTGTCCATTCCGGTAACTCCCCTGTATCACTGTCCAGATCCTTCCAGAAACTGTTTGCATCTTCTGTCCTCGCCTTATTGACTCCCTTTTTCTCTTTTTTTTTTTTTTATTGGACCTGCCCAAGGATGTTATGGTTACTGATTTTGGCCCATCATCCCTTGGCCCATTCATCCCATTCTTTGAGTCCGCCTCCTTCATCGGCCAAGCAAGCCCATTAATTGCTTCTCTTTTTTTCAGCAAATTGTTGACAGTAGGTGTGACTTTGTCCATTTCGATTTCTATACTATTTTTCGATGAGGCATCCCCAATTTCCCCCATTTTGAAATTATTTCTATTCCCAATGTTTTCACTGCAAGCATCCATCTCTGCTCCTATCTGTCTCTCAACCTCCTCGAGCCCATCAGCACTTAAATGCACTTAAATTTCTTCTTCTTCTTTTTGAGAAAAAATGATAAAATTATATTAATATAAAAAAAGATAGTTCATTAGGGTTATTTTAGAAAGTGAACTCCTAGTATATAAGCAAGATAAAATGCAACCATAGGAAATGAACATTTATTAAAAATAACAAAAGTTAGAAAAAGGTGATATTCTCATCTTGAGAAGTTGATTAGTACACATATGGTTATGTCATTATTGACATGTTGCAATGTTGAGTTAAAACAAAATCCATCATGAGTTCTCTACAATTCAAAACATTAGAAATATTGGCAAACAATAATTGAATGGTATAAAAAGAGCCAGATCCAATGTTAATTTTAGAAAATCCCTTGATAACAATAAACTTGGAGGTTATTTTCTATGTTTTAAAGTTTAACACTTACTCTATTAATAATGCTTATATTCCTGATAAACCCCATAATCTAATTGTCATTATGATCATTGAAGATCCCTTCTCTGCCAATAGGTTTGAGAAAGGTAGCCCCCTCAATATTACTATTTAATAAAATCAAAAGGAGGTTTATGCTAGTAAAATATACCAAGTTATCTATTAGACAAATTAGACTGAATAAGAAAAATTGATTGAAATTTAATAGTGTTATAAATAATACTAGAAAGTCATTTATAATATTAAAATAAGAATTCTTATAAAAATTGTCATTTTTTTTTTGTTACTAAATTCCCCAAATAATGAATAAAAACAAAGCAATCCAAAGGAATTTTGACATAAGAGAATCATCCATGCATTTACCTCTTGTTTGGTCTAAGGGAGACAAAGTCCTCCCTGCTTGTTTAGTTAGACTAAAATGTAAAATAATAATAATAATAATAATAATAAAAGAAGGAAGAAAAAACCCCTCACTTCTCCTCATTTCCCCTCCAATTTTTTGTTATCCAAATAGAGAAGTTCTTCTTCATTTTCTCTCCCTTAAACCAAAAAAGACATTAGTGTTAACTCTTAATTAACCAATAAAAGAAACAATAGCATTTTCAATATTTACATGGATGATTCTGTTCCTAATTCTCAATAAGTATGAATATTTTAATTGTTCATATGAAGATATTAGCAATGGTAGTAAGCTCCCACGCAATAAAGAGCACTCCCCATCCCCTTGGTGTTTTTTTGAAGGAGAAAAAAATCTTCTCTCATCTCAATTTACAGTAATTTATAAAAATTTATCATATGATTTTTCTTTACAATATTAAATGGCAAATGTGTTTAACTTAGACTTGAATTGCATAATAAATATTGGGTTTTGTCATTAAAATGAATGATAAATTAAATAAATACATTGAAATTTGTTAAAGTGTTGGTTGAACCCAATTTACAATAATTTATAAAAAAATTATTGTATTGTTAAGGGTACATTAAATGGAGTCCCCATGAGACGAAAGGGAAATTGCTACCTTTAAATAGTATATTTAGTTTGAAGGAAATAGATGAAAGAGAACAAATGAGACTTTTTTCTTTTAGACAACTCTCTTCCTATAGAATGAGAGGCAACCCCTCTTTCATCATTTTATATGCCATGTGATTTGAACTTTAGAACTTTTACTTTCACTGGAAAGAAATTACCACTAAGCTATATAGGTTATTAGCAAAAGAAATGTGTTTTATAACCAATCAAATTATAATATTTTTAAATATTACAATCTAATTGGTTGACAAATCCATCATTTCTCTTCAAACCAAACACACACTTATGGGAGATTTTGGCAAAAAAATCCTTCTTAAACCCCCAAGCTTACAACAAAATAGTAATTAAGCCTCTAAACTAAAAATGAAGCAGATAAACCCTCCAACTCCACTAACAATGCAAATAAACCCTTCCCACAAATGGGTGAAACAGTATTTCATGTTTAATATCACCTTTTGAAAGCATGGACACCCATGAATTAGAAGATATTATTTGCATTATTAATAGAGTTTGAGGGCTTATCTGCTTCATTTTTAATTTAGGGGCTTAAATGCTATTTTTGGATAAGCTTAGGGGCTTAAGAACGGTTTTTGCTAGAGATTTTCAAATCCTAAAGGAAAAATATTTTTTGTGTAAAAGTTAAATTTCGTAGACAATTTCAAATCTTTTTTGAACTAAAATATTAAATTAGAATATTACTACCAAAATATTAAATATTAAGAAGCATATTCTAAATTGAAACTAATTTAAAACTTATTGAAAATAATTAAAAATATACAAAAATAAATATAGAATATTAGATATGACACAAATAAGGAATAAAACATTATTCTAGGAGAAACAAAAAATACTCTATCAAAAATTGAACATAATGTCCACCAACATAACACAACTAATAAAATAGTATAAGAATATATAATATGAAATGTGTGCTTTAATTATGAATTTTGAAGTGTTGAAACATGTAAATTACTAATAAGTAAATATATATTCAAAACTAAGGAGCAATGTAGAAGTGAATACTTTTGAGAAAATTAAAGAAAATAAAATGTCACCTAAAAATATTATGGTTTTAAATTGATAAAAAAAATTAAATATTAAATCCTAATCCAAATTTAAATCCTAAAACTCTAAGTCATAAATTTTAAAAACTTCAACTTTTAAATTCTTATTGTTGAACTCTAAAATTTTAAAATCCAAAACTCTAAAATTATAAAACTAAATGTTAAATTCTAAAACTTTAAAGTTTAATTTTCTCATTTTTCATGTTAAAATTTAAATATTGAAACATAAAATTATTCTTCCTAAATTCTAAAAAAATTGGGCTTAAAAATAATAAATACTTAATTTAAAAAGTAGTATAATAAAAAAAATTAGTAATTTTTCTTTTATTATTGTGAATTAAATGTTTTAATGTACACTTTTCTCATATAATTTTACCCAAATAATCAACCTCTTTTATCAATTTTTGATTTAAAAAAATTTATATTAACAAAAAGTAACAACAAATATGTACTGAGGGTACAGTAGTTAAGTGGCATTAATTAAGCTTTTGGATTTTATTATTATTATTTTTGCCATAATTTTTAACTTTGACATTAACTGATCTCATTAAATAACAACTTAAGAAATACTCAATTTTAAAACAAATTACCAAATAAAGAAAGTTTGGTAATATGTCAAAAGTACATTAAATTAAGGATTATAAAAAATTTAGTATATAATATGATTTTTTTTTATTAGTTTCTCTCCTAATGTATAGATAGATTTAGAATAAATTTCTAATGTAACATAACTAAATAGTTAAGCCAAACAAAAAAAATACCAAATAGAAGATGAAGAGCATCATCAAATCTAATTCAAATCTAAAATAATTAATTGGATAAAACTTAGAATTAAAAAGAAATAAGTACAATTTTATGAAATGATACTAATAAAACTTGAATGATATAACATATATAAAAGGGATTGGGTTATTATTATACTTTAAATAGTTAATACCACATCATTTTAATATAGTTGTCTATTATACTCTTACATTACTTTTTTTTTTTAATTTTACATTTTTTATTTCTTAATAAATTAAAAATATAATAGTTAATTAAAATAAAAAAGTATGGCATTAATAATTGAAGGTGTGATAAAAACATCACCTCATAAAAGGGAGAAAAGAGGACTTTTATATACCTAGCTTGGTATGTATCTAAATTCAAAACTTTTTAGCTGACTTTATTGTTTTTTCATACTTAACTCTCTCTACATTAATAGCTTTAATATTGTTAAAAAAATAAAGCTTCATATTTTAATTTTACAAATATTATATAATCATTATTTAAATTTTGTAAAATAGTATTAATAAAACTTAAAAAAATAATATAAAAAAGTGAGATTATTGTCACACCCTAAATAGTTTAATACCATATTATTTTAATATAATTATATATTTTACCCTCACATTATATTTTTCTCAAAAATTTACCTTTTTTTTTTCTTATTAATTATTATTAGTTATTAATTACTTAAAAAAAGGAAATGGAAACGTTGCAAGAAATGGCTAGAAAGAAAAAAAAAAAAAAAAGGACGTTCCAAGTGTTCATGGAAGGAAAAGTGCAGCCGAACATGTACTGCACAATTTAAATATATATAGTTGTAATATATTAATTGACGGTAGAATAACTCATTGAATGGTATGATATTTTTTTACTTTTTTTTCACTCTAGTAGTAAGTAACCTATGATTTTCTAACTTATGTACTTAAAAAAAGAGTATATTATTGTCACATCCTAAATAGTTAATATCATATTATTTTAATATAATTATCTATTTTATCCTTACATTATATTTTTACTCAAAATTCTACATTTTTTTTTTGTTTCTTACTAATGATTATTAGTTATTAATTACTTAAAAAATGGAAATGGAAACATTGCAAGAAATGGCTAGAAAGAAAAAAAAAATGACGTTCCAAGTGTTCATGGAAAGAAAAGTGCAGCAAAAAATGTTCCACCTATTATACCCCTCATTTGAATCCAATTTGCAGCAGTCACCACCTTCTCCGCGTGGGTTAATGGTCAATTAATTAAAAAAGCTGTGCTGTTAACATGTGAAGCTGTGGCAATAACACCACCCATATAGTTGTAATATATTAATTGATGGTAGAATAACTCATTGAATTATATGATTTTTGTTTTTTACTTTTTTTTTTACTCTAGTAATAATAAATGTTTTTCTAACCTATGTTCTTAAAATAGAGGTTAAGAATATTTTTTTATTGTAAACATATATAAAAAATATAAAAATTAATATTAATTTTAGTATCAATATTAAATAGGTGAATTTAATTAAATAATTAATAAATTAAAAGTTGACTTTTATTTTTTTAATATAAAT